GATGGGGGGGGAGGGAGGGGGGCTGGCCTGGGGGAGGGGGGAGGGGGAGAAGCAGGGATGGCAGGGGGCGGCGGGAAGCAGGGCTGGTTGGGGGCAGGGCTGTCGGTGGGGAGCAGAGCTGACCCAGGCACATGCAGATCCCAGGGCGCTGCCTGTCCCGTGCACTGTCCCAGCGAAGCACGAGCGAGTATGGATACTGCTCCATAACACACTTGAACAGTGCTCAGGAGCACGGACAGGGCTTCTCCTCCTCCCCAAGGCGTCACTCCTACGTCAGACACAACCAGAAGCTCTGAGCGTTGATCGTGCCCTGCCTCCCGGCCACTCCCCCCACTCCCGCCAGGCTTCCATCGGGCGCCCAGCCAGAAAACCAGAAAATACCGGACATTGCACATGTCTGGTATCTTCTGAATTTTTTTACCAGACAGAGGGCCCAAAAATCGGACTGTCCGATTGAATACCGGACACCTGGCTACTCTGTATGGCAGGCCCAGGAGCACCGGAAGTGAGGTCAGTCTGGCACTCTGGGGCTGGTAGCCCAGTGGGGTCAGAGGGGCTGTGGGCTGCCACAGTGGGTGGGGAGGGGAGTCGGGCTAGGTGATCAGTGGCAGGGGAGCTAGAAGTGTCCTCCCTCAGTCCAGCAAAATCCCTCATTTGGGACCAGTTAGGTCCCAACTCCCCCCCCCACAGCAAGTGTGTTTGAGAAGTTTGCATGTGTAGTGGTCACCAAAAATGCATCATGTTTTCATTGCCATTTTGGAATGTGAAATGATTGAGGGTTGTACTTAAAGAGCTACACTCACAGCTCATTCACAGGCCCACTGAGCTCACCCTCCACTGACCCATACACCCGCTGAGGGTCTGGCCTGCACAAGTTGTCCTCCCTTTCGAGAGCACCCATGCTTTTTACCACCTGCTGACTCTGTGAGATGGAGCCTAACCAGGTTTATACCTATTTATACCATGGTTGGGCATTGGCCACCAGAGAAACACACTCAGCACCGTTCTAATATGAAGTACAATGTATCGGCGGCTTTTTGGAAAAGGAGCACAAGGGCAGACGAGTGCTGGTCAGCAGATGCTGCAGAAAAGGACACCTCGTTCCCCAATGCAGAGTAATCCTGGGTCTGGATGATCTGCAGTGCACCACAGTCAATGAACAGGCCTGACCAATGCATGCTGCAGACCACCCACTTGGGGCTATGTCTACAAAGCAACATTATTTTTAAATAATATAGTCCGCATCTATACAGCCGGCAGTTATTTCGATGTAATGTCGAAATACGATCAAGCTGGAGGACGACTTACTCCAACTACTGTACCCCTCATTGTACGAGGAGCAAAGGAAGTGGGAGGAAGAGTGCTCTATTTTGAAGTTAAGTGCTGTGTAGACAGCTCCAAACTCAAAATAAGCTACACAATTGATGTCACTCAATTTGCATAGCTTATTTCAAGTTAAGCCTGGGGAGATGTTTCTGCCTGGGATTAAATCGGGAATGTGGGGAGGATTTACCGGGGCAGTAAAGCGTATAGCAAAGTGAAAGGGGTAGGGCTGAGGAGGGGGAGTTGCCTGGATGTCCATGATTTTTCCTAAATTTAGACAAAAATCTCATGTCCTACCTCTTCTTGATCTTGCAGAGCCAAGCACAATGTCCTCCTCCTGGTGCTTTCTCCAGCCACGTTTTCCAGTGGAGGTTTATTCTGTTGGTAAATTTCCTCTCTCTGCACAATTGCTGAGACATCCCTTGGGGGAAAAGAAGCATCAGGGCTATTTAAAGTCAGCTGTGATTGTTTTCCAAAGCTGCCCAAGATGATTTCCTATTAGTTTTAATGGGAATTGGACATCTGACTCCTGCCGGGTGAGAGAGTTAAGATTCCTAAGTGTTTATTTTGGAGTTGGCTAAGTCGTTGCCAAGTTATTTGTAAGGTTGGGTGTGTTGTCATGGCAACTAAGGAATGTAATTCCATTTACCTCCTTTAGTTAATGCCATCAGAAATATTTGTCAGAGTGCACGTGGTAGGTCAGGAAAGCTCATACCAGAATAAAGCTGAAACCACGGAAAGAAGCTTAGGGAGGTAAAGGACAAGTTAAAAATGGAAATAAAACTGAACATAGACTTATTGGCAAATATTTTCCCCATTAATGTCACTGGTTGGGGCCCCATGGTGTTAGGTGTTTAGTTAATGCCATCAGAAATATTTGTCAGAGTGCACGTGGTAGGTCAGGAAAGCTCATACCAGAATAAAGCTGAAACCACGGAAAGAAGCTTAGGGAGGTAAAGGA